TCCTTGGTAAAATCCTATCTTACAAACAGGAAACAACGTGTAGCGATAAAAAAAGATAATATCATCATCAAGTCAGATTTCATTTCAAATGAGGTAGGTATACCACAGGGCAGTGTTTTAGGTCCCATATTATTTGTCATATACATCAATGATCTAAGAGATAGCATTAAGAATTACGACTTTACAATAATTAATTATCCTGATGATACCAGCATACTCATTACCGTCAAAAATACCACTGGATTTGAACATAATGATCAGCAGGTGTTTGAATCAGTGAGGAATTGGTTTTGCAGTGAATAAACTTGTATTAAATAATGACCAAACTGATTTAATAATATGTAGAACAAAGCAATCGATTGATATACCATAAAATATCAAACTTTCTGATAGTAACAGCCAAGTAAGTCAGCAACTAAAGTGTTAGGAATACATTCAGATGAATTTTTGTCTTGAACTCCCAACATAAACAAAACTGCTTTGAATCTGAGTAGCATCAGCTATGGAATAAGAGTCTAGTTATATAAGTTCAGAATAATAAAAAATTGTATATTGTGTAAATTTTGAATCGATTCTACGTTATGGAATAATACTGTTTGGAGGCAGCTCAAAACTGCAAAAATATTGGTTATTCAAAAAAGGACCATAAGAGCAATGAGACATATGAAATTTAAAGAAACATGAAGGGTATGGGTTTGATGTCAGTATATGCACTTTACATTTTTGATTGTGTTATGTTCACAGTGAAAAATAGAAACAATTGTCCCACGCGAAATGATCACACTTGCAGTACAAGAGCTCTGAATGTTTTGCTACCTCAGCATAGGCTGTCAGTAACTGAAAAAAACTCCTTCCATATGTGCGCAAAGTTGTATAATAAACTATCTAATCATTTGAAAGTGATGGAATGTACAGGAACCTTCAAAAAACACATGAAACGGGTTTTAATTCAGCTGGAACCATACAATATTTCTGAGTACATCAATGATTCGCTTTATTGTTAGCTTGGGTATGACGTTAGTTCCACATCTATTTCATTTGTACATATAATGTATTTGTTATTCTAGATTTGGAATAAATATTATTATTACTATTATCATTTACAGGTTTGGTTCACTCCAATATTGATATGATATACAATGAAATTTAATCAACAAATTCTTTATGGTTTTATTTCAGAAGTCTAACATACAAAATGAGTATGTGACAAGGTGAACATTTAAGCTCCTTTTTCAATACAGATCTAGAAATGAAGCCCTTATTGGTCACACGTTTAGATCCTGGGACGCATAGCGGCAAGAGATATGATATGCAAGATCACTGATGGCCTTTTCAAATATGGTACGAGTGGAATGTTTTCACTACTAATACTACATCACTACATTATATTATCAATATATGCAAGATTCAAAAATTTTCATTGTACAGCGTCATTTACCCTAACCTTTGCACAAATGAACGATCATGCCATTTCATACCCAATTTACAAATACTTTGAGGTATCAAGTAGCCTCGTGTAAAATTGAGAAACTAAAATAGAATGCAGATGGAAGCAGGTTTGGCCGTCGAAATGATCCATTGGGGAGTAAAGTGTTAATGTTTTTTTTTTTTGTTTTCACTGTGCTAGCATTATTCCAATACTTTCCCTGGTTGTCGAAATACTTAGAAAGACAGCTACGTGATCGTAATAATTATTTACAATATATTTATAATTATTGGAAGTATCAAATTCAGTTGTCGAACTTTATTGAAGTAAGCAAAATACAATTTTAAAAGACATTATTATTTAACTAGGTGTTTTTTTTGTTATAATTTACCTAGAAAGAGAAAAATACTTCTCAGTGGGGCAATGGATGCAGTATTGGCGATTTCTCGAGTTAGTAGTGGAAACAATAAACTGAGCATATACATGCTCAAAGTGAGCACAACTTACTCTTACCTTCAATTTATCGAAAATCTGAACCACATGAAGGGATGGGTTCTCCAGTTTCCCACAATGTGTACTGAGCTCTGCCAGTTGCTTCAAGGCATGATACTGTAGGGTGGAGCCATCCTTCAGTGTACCTATTGCATCATAATTGGGCAGAATTTGGTCACAGTAGAACTTTGTGAATTTTGTGGACTCAATATTTGCCTAGCAGGTTAAAAAAAAAACAAGATATAATAATCAGTCCAAGAACGAACTAAAAATAAGACATATTATACTAAAACGCTTACATTGAATAAGGGCAGGGCAAAGTCGACACACATCATCACACGATTAACATTTTGGCCATTTTCTTCCAGAGGATCAAAAGAACCATCAATCTCTGCCTTCTCAGCAACAAGGTTTACAAGTTCTTGTTGCCCTGCTATGGTTTTTGTCAATTTTGAGGCTGTTAGATAGGGCATTACGAGGCCAAATTCAGTTGCATCAGATTCCTGAAAAAAGTGTTGATTTTCAAGCAAACGAATCAACATCAAGGAAGGGTCATCATTTTGAGTGCACCTTAAATAGACCAGGGTGTTTGAATCGTACGGATCAATATTAATAACGTCTTTTTTCAGTTTTCAAGCATTTAGATTCAATTGTTTTGTACATAAACATTTGGTTGCTCATGGAATTAATTTTTAGAAAAATCAGTCGTATCGTTTCAGAGAAATATAAAAAAAGGTAATTTTGGCATACAAAACTTTGCGCTCCAGCGATCGATGGGAACTTTTGACATATCAATTCTAATGACATATTAACGACAAGAAACTATTTTCAAGTGGGTATGACTTTTATCCGAATTCCCTTTTGTTCATTTTTAGCGCATCTTAAGCAGACCATGATGCGTTTGGATCGTACGGATTAATACTATTTCCGTCTTTTTTCAGTTTTCAAGCATTTCGCGTTCAATCGTTTTGTATCCAAACCTTTTGTGGCTCATGCAATGCATTTTTAGAAAATTTACTGACACTTATTTTGAGACCCTGTATAAGTGGTATGTATTTTAGTATATGTCACATACACCAATGCCTCCACATTTACACTGAAAACTAAATACGTGATGTGTACAACAAGCGTGTTAGAAAGAGATACGAGCCCCTTCCCACTTCAGTTGGCCCACTTCAAGATTTGTACCAAAATATGCCTATAAACTAAACATGAAACTATTTACTTCTAAAACAATTTATTTTCTCAAATACATTTTAGATACACTCTAGTCGTAAAAAATACATATTTGAAATCACTTAGACCTATAACTAATAGAACATCTGAACAAATAAACAATGTGCGAATAAATGCGCGAAGTTAACAAAGCAACAATTGAATGATTACCATTTGGTAACATCACCTTTATTTTTTATTACGACTGAAATTCTTTGGGGCATAGTGTTAACCAAGTTTTGGCAAAAATTTGGTGTAAAACAATCCCATATTTCCTGAAGCTGTTGTCTCAGTTCGGTGATTGTACGAGCAGGATGTTGTCGTAGAACCTTTTTCATCTCGTGCCACAAAGTTTCAATAGGTGACAGATCTGGACTGCTAGAAACCCATTTCAAAAGTGGTACATTATTTTCTTCCATCCATTTTATAGCCTTTTTTGAGGTATGGCACGCTGCACCATCTTGCTGAAACACAAAATCTTGGCCGGATGTCAAACATTCTTCCATCACTGGTAAAAGCGATTCTTCTAAAATTGCCAAATATTTGTTTGTATCCACATTTCCATCAATAAAATGAAGTTATCCTACTCCTTTGATGATATACTGTCCCAGACCATAATGGATGCTGGAAATTTCACTTTTCTCTTCAGAGAGTCAACATGGAATGCTTCATTTTTTTTGCGAATAACTGTACTGCGACTGTCACCAACACAAACTTCGAATCGGGCCTCATCACTCCATTGTATTGCACACCATTGTTGAGGTGTCCATTGTCTATGTTCTTTAGCCCATTTAAGCCGATTTTTCTTTTGCAGTGGAGTTAATAGTGGCTTTTATTTGGCCTATAAACAAGTTGTGCAACTTTATGGTTTTTACTTCACTTTTTTTTATAAGAAAACTTACCTTGCAAGTGCTAAATCCCAGTTTGTGGGCCTCTCTACGAGTTGTGGACATCGAAATTCTCCTTCCAACAGCGTCACTCCGCAGAGCACTTAATTGTAAATAATTGGCACGCCTGTTTTTCACGATTATTCTTATTAATGCTCTTCGGTCGGCATTTGTGATATTACTTTTTTTTTCACATATCGTGGCTTAATATTAACTGAACCACTTACGTTATATCTTCTCACACTGTACCGCGATAAGTCTAACAAAGTTGCAATTTCCGAGTTTGATTTCCCAGAATTAAAAAATTTAATTATCGGTAACAGAATTTTCTCACTAATAACCTTTCCTCTACCCATTTTGAAAACCTTAACTACCCAAAACTATTTTAAACGTATTCTGACAGCTGTGATTCATAAAAACAATTGTCATGGCTTTTATTTTTCACAGCCACCTATGCCATTCCCCTAACAAGTAATTCTTGAAAAAGCTTTTCTTTTATTTTACCTACCATTCCCCTAACAGACTTATTTTGCTTTGAAATGAAAATAGGTTGATATGCTGTAGTAATTGCAACATGTGTTATTTTTATGCTGCAAATTTGATTAGGGAGTGATAAAGTTGCTGTTTTCTACTATATATTATCAAAATATTCATTGTTAATATTTTAAACCTATAATACCCTGCTACATTTTTATTATATGTGTTTGATAAGAAAAAAACTAAGATTTCAATAGTTGGGCCAACTGAAGTGGGAAGGGGCTTGTAGAAGCACCTAGTTGACTAGCAACCCGAGTACGAGGTCACGGATTCCAACGCCGCACTCTTTCTAACATACATATTGCACGCTTCTGTCTCGTACGTCGGCCAAATTTGAACCTCACTGTACGTTCATATTGAACAGTTGATGGCGTAAACATAATATTTGCCACGTAAGAGCAAAAGAGTACCCGAGAGTCCACAGATCACTAAAACTCATAAATGAGGATTCAAAGAACAACTTTTATAGATGATTCAATTCTCTGCGATTTTTGTAAAAGGCATTTTTGTGGTCCATTTCCCTTTTAGATAAATATGACAAAACGTGCTATTTTTGATATTTCAACCTAAATAAAACAAGGTTTCGCTTTAATAAGGATATATGAGGAATTTTGATACATTATTCATGATAGTGTATTCAGGGTCTGTACTAATTTTCAGATTTGTAGGAATTTTTGCAAACCTAATTTTTATTTTGGTGGAGTAATACGTGATTGTACAAAACATTTACATGGACTGTAACATTCAAAGAATTGGCAATGTTGCACATTATCTACGAGATCTGAATTGCTGAATTACTGATTTTTTTGGTGAAATGTGATTATGTACACGATTTTAAAACTCAGGAACTGCATAGTTAATTCGAAATTTCAGAATTCACATCAAAATATATTCAAAACCTCCTAAATTGGAGTACAGTCAATTTTGGTAGGTTATTATAAATCAAAGTAAAAACCAACTATACACGGTGTTTCAGATTCGACCCTCACCATTGGGATCTCGGAAACTGTAAGCGATACGAAGTAGCTTAAATGTGGAAAAAGTTGCGTATTCAGGTAATCAACAAAATGCTGCTTAGAAAGTTTCGAAATTCAAAGTACTTCCAGAGAGAGACGAAAAAACGAATTTTCCCAAAATCGTTTTAATTTTGTCCTTTAGTTGTGGTGGGATTTCAAAATAAATTGCACATTAACATTGCCAATGTTTCTTCTTTACAAGAAAACTTAATTGGAATTTTATTGTGACGTTTCGTCTCTTGTCCTCCAGCATCAACTTTATTTTTTCTTATGGTCGCCAAATTGGATTTCCTTACCGATGAATAGTGTTTAATTCTGATTAAAAAAATGTATGATACGTCATACATTGACATTGCCATATTTAAAGAAAAAAACAGAATTTCCTGGGATGGCCTTGAAATGATCAGATAGCCATTTGTTTCGCATAACAGATTTATCCCAAAATCACTTTTATTTTTCCTGACTGTATTCGAGGTGGGATTTAAAAATACATTGCTTGTTGTTAAATTTTAAATTCGACATTTTTTCTGTCGACTTCCATCACCAACTTTCATATGGACGCTATATTGAAATTTTGTACATTTACTCGTAAATGAACTTTTCAGTCCTAAGTTCAGTGATGTATGTATTTCCTTAGTTGGCCATGAATAATTTGTTGTTAGATGAAAAGGAAATAAAAAGGTCTGGTGAAACCTGACCACAAAATGAAAATTTTATTGATGGTAATAACAATAATAATCGTAAAATGAGAGGTAATCATAGCAGATGTTCAAAATGCTGTCCGTTATTTTGTAGGCAAAGCTTGTCTCTTCTCTGTATATTAATCAATGTTCACTGCTCGATTTATTTCTCTTCTTAATCTTACAAACTCTGATACTATGTTCAATTTGATAGTCCAGTTAAATAGCCGAAACTGCGGCAAAAGTGATAACATAGCCACAAAGTTATGTCCGCTGGCGTAATGGTGTAATAAAGGTTTGCGAATATTGTCGTTTTAGGTTTTCCGGAAACCAGCCGTTTTTTGTAAAACAGCGAAAAACCCGAAAAACCTCTTTTTCGCTGAAACGGCTGAGGATATCTGGGATTTTTTTACACTTAAATTTTTCTAATTTTTGGGCCATCAGAAAAGGTCTCTGCAAATAGTTTGCTAAATTGCTTAGTTTTCACGCTACAGCTTGCTGATAGCTTGTTCGCGGGGAGGCGTGCGGGGGCAAGGGGTGGCGTACACATATCACCAGCCGCCGCACGGTTGACACGGTCGATCCTCTTTTAATATTTGGACGACCTGAGTGTCTCACTATCAGTGATAGGCCAGACGCTTTCGAATAATAAGCTCGTTTGTAGTTGTGGCGTTCACCGACGTATGCATAGTGATGTGAGCGAGAATATTCTCAAACCATATATTCTCGAGAACGAGAATATTCTCGTGGAGAAAATTCTCGCCGGTAATTTTCTCAAAATGCTTTTAGCAGTACCGTCGGAAACCTACTTTTAGCGAGCCAAACGGACCGCGTGGGGAATCCCGGAATCCAAGAGGTGTTTATTTGTATTTCTTCCTGACATAACCTGCAAGCATCGCAACCGAACGACAGTATTAGAATTATTTTTCGTTTGTTGAACACGTAAATCGTCAAAATCATGAGTGATAGGAAAATAACCAAACCAAAAAGTAATGTGTGGAATCATTTTGACTTGAAAAAACTTGAAGGAAAAGTAGTTTATACCTGCAAATTTTGTGCTAGTGAATATGTAAAAAATGCTACAAGGATGACTAAACACTTGTTGAAGTGCTTAAAATTTCCCAGTAATATTAAGAGAGACTTTAAAATAGTAGGATCAGAAAATGTATCATCTCTGTCGAGTACTGCAGCTTCATCTTTGAAAGGTATGTATATGGAGGATATATTGAAAAGAAGGCTAGTTCAAGGGGTATAAGTTTGTTGTGTTCGGGCTTGTGTGTTACTAATGGAACAGAAATTTTATTTTAACATAGATAGTGAGTTAACTATAAAGGATATATTCCGGGATAATTTAGAAATGTATGCTTTATTACATGGACAGTGGAAGGATATTTTTTGCTTAAGTTAAATTCAATCAAGTCAAAATAAAACATTTTTTTCAGATCAGTGTGAAGAGGAGGAAACTTTAACAAAAGCTGCCAGCATATCAGGTAGCTTTGGCGGTAACTCATCAAACTCTCGTTCCACATTACGCAGATTTATGGATTTTTCAAATAAAGAGGAGCAAGCAAAGTTGGATCAACTATTTGCAAGAGCAGTTTATGCTTCTGGAACACCATTTGCAATCTCGGAAAATAAACATTGGCAGTTATTCTTTCAAACATTAAGGCCAACCTTTAAAATGCCCTCACGATATTATTTGTCTAATCAACTTCTAGATACAGAATATGAAAGCATCGCAGCCAACATACAAATTAAAATAAGTGAAGCCAATGCTTTAGGCCTGCAGTGCGATGGTTGGAGCAACAGGAGAAACGAATCCATTATTAACTTTATTATCACCACTCCCACACCTATTTTCTTCAAAACTTTCACTACTGACACAAATCGACATACTGCAGAGTACATGGCCGAAAAAATAGAAGAGGTACTAACAGAAATAGGACCAGAAAAATTTAGTGCTCTAGTGACGGACAACGCCAGTGCAATGGTGAAAGCCAGGAACAATATTCACGAAAAATATAAACATATATCTGTTTACGGTTGCGACGCCCACACACTTAACTTATTAATAGGAGACATCTCAAAATTGCGAACTATGGCTTCGATAGAGGGCGATGTTAAAAGTATCGTTAAGGAAATTAATAATTCTCATCTTTTACTAGCCACTTTCAAAAAGATCCAGACTGAAAAAAAGGGGACATCTGTACCAATATCGCTAAAGTTACCCGTCAAAACTCGATGGGGATCAATTACCCACAGCTTGAAAAGTCTGCTTGATACCAAATATGCCCTTAAAGTTTTAGCAGTTTGTGAAACTGTGGATACTATATTGAGTAAGCAAGTAGAAAGATTAGTTTTAGATGAAGCTGTATTTTGGGTAAGAGTGATAAAACTGTTCAATTTAATTAACCCCATTGTTGAATACATAACCAAACTAGAGTCAGACAAGCCAAAACTAAGTCAAGTAGTAGAATGTTTCTATAGTTTGGAAAAACATTTTCAAACAGTGTTACCTTCAAGTCCCCTTACAAAGCAAGAAGAGCAAAATTTACAGGAATTTTTAGTAAAAAGAAAGCGTATTGTCATAAACCCAATACATTTGGCAGCTAATATATTAGACCCTCGTTTTAATGGTGTTCATTTGACCAATGAGGAGCAAATTCATGGTACTGAGTTTATTGATAATATGGCTAACTCACAATACCCAGAAGACGCAGCAAGTATAATGGCAGAATTGGCGTATTACAGATCTAAAGAAGGATTATTTGCAAAACCGTACGTTCTAAGGTCCATCGATACTTTAGAGCCGGAAATTTGGTGGAAAGGAACCTGTTTTGGAACAAAACTAGGTAAATTAGCGGTTCAAATTCTGGGAATGCCTGCGACTAGCGCGGCTACCGAAAGAAGTTTCAGTACATATGGTTTCATACACTCTTCAAAAAGAAACCGACTGACAGCTGAGCGAGCCGGTAAAGTTACTTTCATAGCTCATAATTTAAAACTATTGGACCAGGACCAGGTATCAGCGATGTCCAAACGGTCCAAATATGAAGAAGAGAACCCTTCTACTTCGCACTGCCAGTCGAAGGAGAGTCTTGAAAAAATAGAGGCAGTGAGAATGATATTGGAGTCTGACGATGGTGATGAGTCGGAGGCGTCAGAGAATGAAAACTGTGATCTGGAAATTTTTTCTGACTCAGATTCATTTTCTTAACTTCATTTTGTTTAAGTCTGTTCAACTTTTTACTTTGTTTTTTATGTTTTTGAAATAACGAGAATATTTTTTTATTTATCTCTAAAGATGGAACATAAGTTATTATATTTTGTTTTTGTTAATGTTCAATAAAATCTTAGAATTTGTGTAGGTTTTACTACTTCTAGTAGGTCGTTATCAGAAAATTCTCATTATTGAGAATATTCTCGAGAATATTCTCAATTCTTTTGTTCTCGAGAATTTTCCATCACTACGTATGCATATTAATGAATTTTTGAAATTCATTAGTTTAAGTAGAGTACAAGATGCAGGAATTTCTCTTCAGCCGCTTACCGATTGACTGGATAAGTGAGGTATAGTATTTTCATTTAGAATTGGAACAAAGACAAAAAATCTAGAGCTGCAAAAAAGGTGTGAACGTGTATATAAATGAGTAGCAATGATAAGAATACATTACAGGATATACAGAAGCCCAATGAGTCATTAAAATACTCGCTTTCGAGGCTCCACGTTATTTTCATAATCATCCACGCAAATCAGTTTGATCACCGGTAGTTCTTGATCTGCGACCATGATAAGAGCAGTTCTTGAGCCGCGTCTATACGTTGGGCTGACATACGTCAATGCAAATATGTAAAAAATAGACGATGGCCGATGGTGATGAGCATTTGACGATGTCTTCTCTGCACACAAGCGAGCTCAGGGTACGAAATTCAACTGGACTATTACTGAATAACCCCCACCATGTAGTAAGAGATCGTGTGCGTCGTCAACCCGTGGACGGCAGGGTTTCCAGGCGTCGCGATTTTTTGCCAAAGTGGGGATTTGACGGCTTCAAATGGCGACTAAAATGGGTAGGGGCGAAGTTTAGCATAATGGTACTCTGCCACTTGATGCCCGCCTCCCCAAAAAAAAAAAAAAAAAGAAAAACTGAAAAACAATACAAAAAACAAATACATTTGATAGGTTACAAGTTTAAAAATGTAAGTGTATAAAAAATATGATGTATATAACATAATATAAGTGAGGGCTGTTCAATATTTCATGAGTTAAAAGTATAAAATTGTAACAGTCATACAAACAAAGGAATGCTACATAGGAAATGTTTTTGTCTGAGATGACAGATAAATTTTATCAACTAATTTATATACTTCTAGGTAATCAAAACAAATTTCTTCATATGTCTTTTAAATTCATCATATGATAGCAATTCTGTGGATCGAGGTATAGCATTGTAAAAAATAATTGTATAGATTAATGAAACATGAAACGAGCACCAGCGGAAGCATAATAGATCCGCCCCCTATGAATAAAACTTATGGTTTCGTTCAGATTAGACGTGTCCAACAACCCCCCCCTAATCTTAACCCCCTTCCTTTTCAAGGAATTGTTTATTATCATATAATAAATATTATTATTATGCCTAACCTCCCTCACCTCCACTCTTCAGTTAACAGGCAGGCTACGAACGGCTGGTTTCGGGAAAACCAAATTCATACAACAATATTCGCAAGCATTTATTAGACCATTACGCCAGCGGAAATAAGTTTGTGGCTATCACTTTTGCCGCAGTTTCGGCTATTTAACTGGACTATTGAGGTCTGGTATATAAAACAAATGAAATCTGACAACTTACCTAGGAACTTCCGTTTTTCTGGAGCACCTAAGGTTTGGCAATGTCAATGCATGACAATATGGCATCGATAAGAAAAAATAAAGTCAATGCTGGAGGCCAAGTGACAAAACGTTATATTGAAATTCTAATTATGCCATCTTGTAGAAGAGAAAAAGTGGCAATGTTAATTTGCAATTTATTTTGGAATCCCATGGTCAAATAAAGTCTGTAAAAAATAAAAGTGATTTTGGGATAAATCTGGTAGGTTGAACAAATGATCTCATCATTTCCAGGCTTACCTAGAAAATTCTGCTTTTTTTTTGGTATAACTAACGTTTGCCAACGTCAATGGACTTATTATACATTTTTGGAATCAGAATTAAAAATCCTACGTGCAAATATGGCGTCTATAAGAAAAAATAAAGTTGATACTTTAGGCAAGAGACGAAACGTCATATTGAAATAAATAAAGTCAGGAAAAAATTAAAAACGATTGTGAGAAAATTCGGTATTTTCCGTCTCTCTTCGGGCGTACATTGAATTTCGAAACCTTCTGAGCTGCATTTTGTTGATCATCTAAATATTCAACTTTCCCCTCATTTAAGCGACTCCATATCTATAACAGTTTCCGAGATCCCAATATTGAGGATCGAATTTGAAACACCCAGTATAGTAAAATATTCCAGATATTTTATATTTGCACTCAAAAATTCCTATTAGCACAGGTCCAGAAATGTCCTATCACCAAGCTACAGGGTGTCGTAGATTTCTACGCCACTGATGAAACTGAATAAGGACTTAACATCATCATTGCTCAAATAACGCTACACTGAGTTAGGGTTAGTCTCCTAATACGCTATATACAATTTTAAGTGTCAAATTTCATCAACTCTAGCGTGTTTTCAAACTATGGGGTTGTCCAAAACGGACGCAGGAAAGTAAACGCATATTAAAACAAGAAAGATTGATATTCAAATCAAGTTGGGTATTTTATTTTGAAGGTTCATTTATACCATTTATGTATGAAAAATAATATCGCTCAAATGTTCACCACGACTGGATTTACAGACGTCCACGTGATGGTCGAAATTTTCAATGACATTTTGCAACATGGTCGGTTCTATGGCATTTATCTCGGCAATGATGTTGTTTTTGAGTTCTTGGAGGGTGGCTGGTTTGTTGACGTAGACTTTGCTTTTCAAATATCCCCATAAAAAGAAGTCCAAGGGAGTCAAATCGCACGATTTTGGTGGCCATGGCACATTTCCTCTGCGCGAAATCACGCGATCACCGAAGAAGGACTGCAATCGATGGACATTGACGTTGGTCGTGTGGCATGTTGCACCGTCTTGTTGGAAATAAACATGGTCCATATCCATTCCTTCAAGTTGCGGCAAAAAATAGTCCTCTATCATCACGTGATATCGCTCAGAATTGACGGTAACGGCGTCCCGGCCGCATATTCGAAAAAGTAAGGTCCGATGATGCCTTTTGACCACAATGCACACCACAGTCACTTTTTGAGGATGCATCCGCTGCTCTTGATACTCACGGGGATTTTCGTTCTGCCCAATTCTTGGGATCGACGCGTTGTTGATTGTTTCGGATCGTCTCTCACACTCTCCTTTACAACAGCAATATTTTCCGGTGTGCGAACGCTCCTTGGCGGGCCAGAGCCTGGCAGATTTGCCACAGAACCTGTTGCCTCGAATTTACGCACCAGACGACCGATGGTTGTTTCGTTTGGGCGGTTGTTGCGACCGAAATGTTCACGAAGCGCGCGAAACGTGTTTTTTATTTTTGCACCATTTTTGTAGTGCTCTTGAATAACTTTAATGCGGTCTTCAATCGAATACGTCTCCATAGCGATCAATGGTAAACATTCAGCTAACAAAATGACATGTCGGTGACAGAAAACAAAGATGGCGTCTATGTCAAATTGACGTTTACTTTCCTGCGACCCTACTGGAGAACCCTTTAGAACGGGCTGATTTTGTCTCAAATGATCAAATTAATTTTTCTCCAAAAAGAGCAGTCAGACGAAAATGCGATTCAAGTAAAACTGAACACCATATTCATAATGCAATAGATGTTCCAAAAACGTCAGAGGCGTAATAAACACTGGAAACTTCCCACGCCTGTTGCAGGGAAGTGTTGCAATTGCAAACATTTTCCAAAATAAGATGTTTTTTGAATGTTAATGTTAATCACGGAAAGCCATGTCACTGATTTCCGTCTGACTGTCGTTCTGTCTGTCTCCTAATCAGCGTCTTTCACTTGAGAAGTACGGATCAGATTTTAATGAAATTTTTAAACAATGTTACTACTAAGCCCAGGACAGAAAAGCTTTGTAATTTTTAAAATCGGTCCAGTGGCGGCGGAAAAGAGGTCAAAAACGGAAAAAATCGCTCAAACTTCGTGTTTTGACGTACAGGGGTAAAAAAGTTGGGGGTGGGGGTTGTAGTAGGGTGACGAGGGTATATCTCAATGTATTGAGGTTAGTATATTTATACGAACCCAACCTTGGTAGTTATATGCAGATAGATCGCATACCTACCGGCCGCGTCTGCTGTTCCCGGCAGCGTGCCGCCGGCCTTGGTGAGTATTCTGGTTTTACACGAATTACTGCCGCGCCAGAACATGGTGTTTCCTATGCTATGGCCGCGCTCCCACGTCTGATCGAGTTAGGTATAGGGGGGAGGCGACATTGTCAGATGGACTACCGGTAGGACAGGGAAAGAATGTCTATGGACTAATTGTAAATGCAAAGTTTCTGTGAAGCCGGCTATGTAGATTCTAAACTATGCTTATTCGGTAAACATCATGACAACCAACTTACTGGTATTATCTTTTTCCCTTCTTCTAACAATAGATCATAGATTTCACTTGTCAATTTTTCCTCCATTTTTATAATCTTCTTATAAATAAACTGCAAACACTTCTCCCTTTCTGTTGCATCATCGGTACTGCTGACATGGTTAAAAACTGTCTTGAGTGTACCAACAGGGTCTTCCTTATAAATCTGAGACAAAGTATTTGTAGGGGTATTGTGATCAGATTCATCAAGTTGCAACAGTTGTGCCAGAATATCTGTTACTTTTGGTACATACTCTTTGGAGTCTTTGCATATTGCTGGCAAGACCTTCATTGCACTGATTCTTATCTGAAACATATTCAAAAACATTATTATAATATTAAAACTGAACAATATTATATATTATGGATCCTATTTAATAAATTAGATACGATTTTATAGGCCATAAGTTGTTTCAACTCATTATACAGAGTGTTACCTAATTATAAGCCATAATTATGGGTGCATTCCTGAACCAAGTTATAGTAGGAACTTTTATATAAACATGTGTCCTAAAAAGTAAGATAATAAGGGATATAGAGAAACAAATAAAGCTGTATCATATATCCGAAAAATACATATTTCTTACAAAGTCAGTGGCACACATTTTTTTGTCAATATTAATCGTGAGATGAACCTCGAGATGCCACTGGGATTCATAATTATCTTCTAGTGTTAGCGTCTTAGGGGCCGTCCAAGTATTACGTGAGCACTATGGCGGGGGGCGGGGGGATCTTAGCTTTGCTTATTTTGGATTACATGGGGGGTAGGGGAGTCTAGATGATGATTACGTCATCGGTAGTTATTTACTTTTTTACACGAATGGCAACCCTCACATTGTCTTTGCTTGAAAACGAAACGCATTTTCGGGGATTCCCGCAAATAATGCATACGTTTAGTGAACAGCGCGCGGTAATTCCCCTAGTCGCTTTAGAACCGAGTAGGGGAATTACCGCGCGGTGTTCACTTGTCTAAATTTCCTCTATCAGTGTATTGTTTCGTTTGGATACTATAGCGAGTAGACGTATTGTAAGCATAGTAAAGCAAGTTAACATTTGTGTTACCATTGATTTCATTAGCCAAAGTTTAATGTTTAAATCAGATGTCGTTTCACATAGACAAATCCAAGTTATACCAAAAATTGAAAGTTTTAAAAAATCTCATACAAGTACGAAAGTACAAAATATACAAAAGTTAGTTAACGAAGTGTGGCGAAATTACAAATTACAAGCAAAATCCGACAAGGAACTAGATATTATTGTATCTAAGAGAATCGAAGAAGAATTGCAAGCGGCGACTAAGAATAAATCCAATCTACTAATTTTTTTGTCTAAGGTGAGTGACGAAATCATTTTAGGTACCTATGAGTACTAGAAATATTAGAAATCGCCAAAAAGTTTCTCTTTACTGATTAGAAAATATTATGGCCTATCTCAAAGTATAGAGGTAATATTCATTATATTATAGATTTATTCCTTATGATTGATTCCGTCAATTGGTCACAAAGAACAGGATGTTAGTTTTATACATATATACAGAAAACTAACACCCTGTATTTTGTGACCGGAACGAATACCATCTGTTTATGCTGGTATCAAAATCACTTTCAATATGCTAGGACAACCGCAAGCCGTTGGATATTCTGGACCAACATACATCGCTATTCGAAGTGGAAAGCATAGTTCATCTACTGCTAATACTCATGCTCATGATTTCGAGACGCTTCTCGAACATGAAGAGTTTCGACTATTAGCTAAAACTGACCATGGACTAGTAAAACCAGTAGTAATCATGAAGGTTGATGGAGGGCCAGATGAAAATCCACATTATCAAAAAGTCATAGGGTTTACTATACAACACTTTAAGCGACATGATCTCGATGCATTGTTTTTAGCTACCAATGCTCCTGGAAGAAGTGCGTATAACAGAGTAGAGCGCAGAATGGCTCCTCTTAGTCGGGAACTGGCTGGTTTAATATTGCCTCATGACCATTTTGGATGAACGTGGCGTTACAATTGATGAACATTTAGAAAGATCTAATTTCGAATTTACAGGAAATGTATTAGCTGGAGTATGGAGTTCAGTGGAAATTGATGGCTATAATGTTAATACAAAATATGTTGGGGCAGATGAGCAAGATCTTCCTGATTTTCCAGACATTAAATGGTATTCAGAACATGTGCGTGAGAGCCAATACTTGCTTCAAATTGTAAAATGTAGAAATACAGAATGCTGTCGTCCAAGAAGTGGCCTATTTAGATTACTAGACAATAGGTTTCTTCCACCACCTGTAAAAGTAAAACAAACAGTTGATGACTTGGTTTTGGATGAAGGAGGGCAATTTCTTAATCTTCCAGTCAATTTAGCTCTACGCTTACGTGCTTCACTCAAAGATTTCCTGCAAATGCCCTACGATTATTTTTGTCCGACGGTAAAATTGAGGCTATCAAGTCGAACATGCAAAACGTCTTTATCATGCTTCCGTCAAGTCACTAAATCGTCTTAGAAACCGAACTTTTTAAGACACATGCTTTATATGGACTTTTATACATTTATGTTCAGGACTGTTTTCTTGTAATTAGACATTTGTCAAAAACAGGAAAAGGTTATTGGACGTAGAACCGCAACTCATTTTAAAATTAACATCCAGAGAACCAAATTATGACGATCTCATCCCAGCACATTCAATTTAATGCTTCGCGTTAATCGAAACAGATGCAACTTTTACTTATGTTGTATAATGAATATATGTATGTAATTATAATGAATATATATATACAGGGTGACTTCGAAGTTGAGTCATTTATTTTAACAGTGAGTAGATCTGATCAAAAGAAATGTTTTTTTCCTTTACCATTTTTCTGGTAAAATTAAAGTAACAAAGTTATAGCCCTTTGGAACTTTGAGTACCGCCCTGTCTCAATAATAATATTAGGTACTCGTGTTTGGCGACAACGGATATAATCCGCCGTATCGGTTCATCGCATCGGAAACAAAAAAGCGAAAGAATTTGGAACGATGTTTTTACAAGTATCTCAGTCATTTGTATACAGTCAGTGTCAGTGAAAGTGGTATCTGTTGCGTGGCTCAAACGAAATAAAAAATGGCACATGTTTATGCGGATCGGTTTCCCAATCGAGTGCAACCAACCCCTAGTGCCTTTGTTAATGTAGTACAACGGGCTCGTGAATCAAATACAGGTCCGCACTGAAATACTTGTCGGGAGGATACTTTATAAAACAAGGTAAAAAATTTTGTTTAATTTTTTTTTTATTTTTACACACATATTTTGGTTTATCTTCCTTCTACAATCATTATCTGAAAATTAATGACTCAACTTCATATATATATATATATATATATATATATACGAGAGCGGTAGAATTTAATTATATATATATGCATATACATATATACAGGGTGTTCACTTGAAACTTGCCAACACGGATTTATCGAAAACCACCGATTAAAAGAAAAAACGCCGAGACACGTCAAAAAATTGGTCAAGGTGGACATCTTTTTAACCAAAAACTACTTCGATCACTTTCACCCTCTGCCCACCAGGGTCATCCCTTAAAAATTTTAAATGACAAGGGGTATCGAGTAATAGCTTGTTTGAAAGGTCTTTCAAAGTTCTTTATTTTGTAGGTTGATTTTTTAAAATGGGTCGATTCGTTTTCAAGAAAAATATATAAATCTTTATTCATCTTTGTTCATGTAGAAAACAAGAACACCTGAAAATATCACTTTTTATTTCAATTAGTGTTCAAAATGTTGCCAGTTATTGGCCAAACCATGATAAAGGTGATGTTCAAATTCTTGGCGGACATTTTCAAAAACATGTTGCCCGTTAGGGTTTGCCAAATCTACAATTCGTATATAATTTAAAACGGAAACAACCAACATAAACCAGCAATTCGGAAGATTAGACGTGGCATTAACCAACTAACAACCCGACTTTTTTTACATATTCTTTTCATATCCTGGCCGAACTGTATTTATTGTTATACCTGCTTAGCTATAGTCAACGCCAAACAAAGTGGCGTGCACGTCATCAAGGTGGGTGTGTTGAAAAATTTACATTGTTGCCAAACTTTTTGTAAAATAATAAAATTTATTATTTACATATCTAGGTTTATAAGCAATATTAACCTCAAATGAGAACAAAAATAATAGTATAATAAAATTATAGATCTGTACTTGCATAATCATTAAGTATGACAATTATTGATCAGATGACACTATGAAACTACCATATTTAATTGATAGCTTAAAGGTACTGAATAAAAATCCAAATGGGGTCCTCCAAATTTTATGCATGGTATTTATTTTACAGAATTCATACAGAAAAATGCATTCTAAAATTAGGTAAGCAACTGGTGTAAGCTTTTTCTGTACAATAAAGTTAGTCGGAGTTTCTTTCTTCAGCGCTGTCTGAATCTGAATCTTCATCACTCTCAAAGTTGATTATTAAAGGTTCGATGTCTGGTCGATCAAAAATTCGTTCTCTTTCATACCATTTAAAAATTTCTTGCTCAGTATGTCGAACACTATTTTTCCACATGTCTGGAGTAACCGTTTGTAGAGCCTCGTTCCACATATTCAAACAGTCTTTTTCACTGTTACCATCTCTACCAATATGTCTGTTATAGTAACCTTTTGCTATGCCCCAAATTAACTCAATAGGGTTAAATATACAATGGTAAGGAGGCAGACGAAGAACTTTGTGCCCGTGTTGTTCCGCCAATTCATCAATCACGTATATTTTAGGTGGTTTGTTTCTAAAAAAGCAGTTATTTTAAGAATAGGAATAAACAAAAGAAATATAAACTGTCGACCAAAATATACATATATATAATTAAGAAGCATTATGTACCGAGCAACAATACTCAATAGCTCTGTTTTAAACATTGTGTTTAAAAATGGTATGTTTTGATTTGTCAACCAGTCTTGGATATTTTTTTTTGTCCATGCATTGTTGGGCACTTTGTTCAATATCATGCTGTGATAAGGGGCGTTATCCAGTATAATCATAGATGGACTCTCCAATTTTTCTAATAACTGATGTTGAAACCATTTCAAAAAATTGTCCTGGTTCATCTCTCCATGGTAATCGCTCAATTTTGTTTTCGAAGAAAATATCGCTTCACTACCCTCAATAAACCCATTTTCATTTCCAGCATGTAATATAATGTATCTAAAATATATTAGTTTTAAATTTTATAGTGCAAATTGTGTAAAAGTACATACCTTTTACCATCTGTTTTAATAGCTTTCACGCTTTTTTGGTTTCCATTTTGCCAAGAGCG